GGAGATAGGTCCTTACCACTGAGAGAGATACTTGACCGTTGGTAGAACTGGGAAGCATCGCTGTTGTTGTCGCTACTGGGAAGTGGCGGCTTCCTTCGACTGATATGGGGGTGGGAGAACAGAGAGGAGGGTGAGAAAGAAGGAGGGAGAGGAGCAAAGAGAGGGTGGGAGATATAAGGGAGATGGGGGCAGAGAGACGCTGGGTATTATGCAGGGGAGTGGTTGAGGGAATTGAAGTTGATAGGGGTGAGCAAAGAGAGAGAAGACTCCCGAGAGAAGGATCGGAGTGATTTCAACCTTTGGATCAGTTTTAGAGCATTAGGATTTGGGTTTGGATGTGACATATGTGAGGGGGAAAATTTTGTGGGAGTAATTTTAGACCATTGAATGAGTTGTATTGTGAGCCTTTGGATGTTGAAGCCATTGGATGAATTGTGACCGTTTGATCAGCTTATTGAAGTCCCGCTTTGTTTTATATTATAGATAAAATTAACTTTATTTTTTGTTTATCGAAAACGGTATGTTAAACAACCATCTACTCCAAATGCTTAAGCTTTTATAGAGGGTGTAATTTAAGCATTTATACTTCAATAAGTTCCCTCATTTGTGGAAGGATGGGCCTAGCATGTGAAAATCTTTTAATCATTAGGTTGACGCCTTGACTACGAGATTGAAAGTAGGACCTTCTAATTTGATATCATTTTAAACAACCATCTATTCCAAAAGCTTAAATTGTTAGAGAGAGTGTAACTTAAGAAGTACTAGGATGTCTTTTATCAAATTGTGTAATGTATGCTTTAAATATTAATGACCAACTGCATTAGACTTTGAAAATTTAAATTAGGTGCATTTTTTTCCAGGGTTTGACCTGTTAAATTAATAGAAAATAGAAGCTTTTCGGTAAGCAACAATGGTGGGGTATTTAGATCTTTTAATGTATTTTATTACATGTAACTTAAGTGTAGAATGAGAATATAGGCAAAGATAGTAGTGGAGGGGCTTTTGGATTCTTTTTGTTATTAGAGTTCGACGCGTTTGATCTTTAGGGCACGTCGGATTCTATAGGTATAGATTTGAATGAGAAAGAACGAAAAGAAAGGTATCAATCAATACAAATTAGTCTTTCTTACAAATGTTACATGGAATAGAAAAACCATTTTTTCCCCAAAAAAAAAAATTATCGTCTTCTTTTTTCTTTCTACTAATATTTTATGTGATTTTCACATATCTTTCATTTATGTTAATTTCTAGAAATATTATTGAGAGAAGTCTTGAACAATAGATGCTTGTTTTTCTTTCATGAGAAGCTATCAAAGACTTAATATCAGTCTCATGTAATGAATATTCTTCAAAAAATCCACTAATTTCCAGATCATATTCTGCTACAAAAGAATTGTCTTCAGAGCATAGTGACTCGGGAGTTGGAATCTCCCCTTCATCAGAATCAGACATGGTGGAGCCATTCAACTCATTCTAAACTGCAGAAACATCAAAGAAGGCTTTTTCAAGATCGTCCATCCCAGCTTGACACTTGAAAATCCCCGAAGTGTCTTCCTTTAATTCTCTTCTTTCTTTTGAAAACTCGAAGTCATCTTGCACAACTTCATTCGATCTTGCTTGCTTGCATTGCTGACTTGTGGTTATCTTCCTCAAACTGTTAGCTGGTGCATGGTTTTGGGTCAATCTCTTTGAAACTATATCACAGATATAAAATATGTATTGATTGACTATGTGTATATGGGTGTGTTGTTATATATTATATTATAATGAAATCAATCCAAATGAGATTTCCAAAGCGAACTGCGATCCAAAACAGTATATCAATCATGTCTACTCTCATTGTTCTACGACCACCTATCACCAATTATTACTACCATCACCATGTAGATATCTAACAGATAGAACATGTAGATATCTACAACCTGTCATTCTCATCTAGCTGCATGCATCTTAACAATCTTGGTATTGTCAGGCATAGAAACTGTGACCAAGGAGTATGGATGAGTACATAGTATAAATGCGAGTCAACTCACAAACATTGTCCCAACTATTTGGGGTCGGTTACATAAATTCTATTCCGCCACTGTGCTCTGTTAAGGGAATATAAACTATTGTTTCTGTAAATTTCTGTTTTGACTTCTGCATTTACCTTTTATGAATGGGACGTTTAGTAGTTTAAAAGTGAAATTAGTAATGATGCTGCTGATTACTTCAACTTTGGTTACTGGCTTGCTGCTATGCCCCACTCACTTTTTACATGGCTAATTTGCCCTTTAGCATTTTATTTCTTCTTCTTTTTCTTCTTTGCCAATCCCTGACATTTATAAATGTCATGTTGGGACTGGAAATCAGGTCTTGCTGATCATGACAATTACCATGAATATTGTCGTCTTCTTGGGCGTTTCAGAGTCAATTATCAGGTATTTTATTCTATATGTTTCATATTTAATTCTCGTTTTCTGGTATGCTGCGTATGGTGAGTCAGTGATTGTTTGTGTTTGCTCATATGTGTTGTGTTAATAATCGATTTCTGTGTAATGCTACATGGCTGTGTATGCAAGCATTGTCTCACATGGGATGTGTGTTGAAGATCTGCATATAGTGTCAAATTAATTTAGATGCAACTTGTTTCCTCTCCTTTATGTCTCTTGTGGTGTGTTTGGTTGAGTTGATGAAAAAATGAAAGATGGAAAGTGAGAGTGATACACTTTCTATTCTTTAAGGTGGAGTCCTTCTTTCCCTCCTTTGTGTTTGGTGGGAGGGATGAAAATTAGGAAGTATTGATTTTTTTTTTATGTTTGGTAGGATAAAAAAGTAGAAGGATGAAAAAATATAGATGCATATTTTATTATTATATCTCTATATAAAATTAATGTATATATAATATGTAAAAAATAAATATGATATATACATATATTAAAGGATATATAGGTAAATAACATACATTTTAACACACAATTAACTTTCCATTTACTTTTTCCTTCTAATTTTGGAGAGATTATTTTGGTGAGTTGGAAAGAAAACTAATCCATCCACTTTTCCATCTTCCTATATTCCTTATTTACCAAACATAATATTTTATCTATCCTTTTAACTTTCCATCTTTCCATTTTTCATCGTACCAAACAAAACATTATTATAGCTTGAATGATAGATGTTGATGGGATAAGAATGGTTATTTTACTTGAGTCATGTTTCTAGTAATTCCACCCTTTTTTCCAGTGTTTGATTTGATTTGGAAGGCTATGGTTCCCTGAAAACTTAAGGATTTCGGCCAGTTCAGTTGCCCACAAGGGGTTAAATACATATAAGATGCTTCGAACTGAAAGGCCTATATAGCTGTTAGCATGGATGTGTGTAATTCTTTGTAGAAGTTACAAAACTATTATTATTGTATAATTTTCAATGCTTTACAACCAAGATTGTTTTCTGATATAAGGATTGCTTGGGTTGCACTTTTGAAATCCTGTCTTGGTTGAAGATTGTTTTAAAAAACTGTTAACGGAGAGATCTTTAACCTTTGGCAAAGTGCTCTATTAGATTTAATTTGCGTTATTTGGCTTGGAAGTAATGGTTTGAATATGATGGACAGGGTACTTTGGAAGAAGAAATATGGGGACAAGCTTTTTATTTACTTAATATTTTTGGTTTTGTGGTTACGTAAGGCATAGTTTGGTTTTTTTGGGGTGATAGTGGAAATACTACCACCCGACACGAAACTGTTTCACTCGACACGATTGTCAAGCCTACTAATCACCACTAGCTTGAATGAGGATACTCTTTTTGAACTACTAGCTTTCTTAGGTAGACAGGTACTTTCGGTAGTTACGGGAAGGGCAGCTAGGCTCATTAATCTATCTAATCTTTTCTTGTTGCGTGCACGTGTAGCAGTCATAGCTTGGTCACCGCAGTAACCTCCTTGTGTTTCGGTAGTCGGCTCATATAAATTAAGCTGTTTTCGGTAGTTCAATTGTGTTAGCTTTTTGTAAAGCTAAAGCTGAGAGCATCTCTTCTTTCCTTTTCCTTATCTAGTTTAGGGAAAGCGGATTTCACAAGTCAAGTAGGCATCGTCCGATGGAAAGCGGGAAAGAGGCGAGATATACCCGATCCGGTCAAGAAAAGCCATACCCGTCTTGGGATCCTTAGAGCTGGTTGAGATTGTCTTTGATGCCTCCCCTAAAAGGCCATTAGATAATTCAAACAGAAGGTATTGGATATTCAATAAGAAATTCTGTCCAAGTGGTGCAACTGAGCTTTAATATTGAATGTTGGAAGGCCATCACCAGTATTTCAAGTCACTGTAATTTAACCCCTTCTGCTTGAAGCTCTTAGCAGAAAGGGAAACTTAAGTACAAGTTTGATGGATGTGGTCTTGACGTCTTGGTAAACCAGGTCATATGGCAAGAACAGATTTTAGAGAGAATTAAGAGAACTTGATTCTTGCTTTTCTAAAGTCAGCCAGTGTAGAATATGTTATGGAGGTAGAAATATTAATTTTCCTAAAAGGCTTGAGAAAGGGTCATTCTATATGCATTTTATTGTTTTACCAATGACTGAAGTTTTTGACCGTTGTGGTAGGCAAAAAGTTTCATCGTTGCTTCCTGGCATTGTACTCACCATTTGAGGAAGATCATAACCTTCTTGCTTCCTTAGAGATTAGATGCCTTCCTATATTGGTAACAAGAGGCATACTTTCTGGCCAACTGAGAAGCAGTAACCTTGTACCTTTTCGAGAGTTCGGAAGACTTGGTTTGGGTTTCTTAGGTGTATTCAATATTTTTATTGTCAAAGATTTCTCATTGTCTGTCGTTATATATAGTATAGTACTTCTTGTAATATTACTTGTGTCTGATAATAAGAACAAAAAGTTGTTTTGGTTATCTAAAATTTTCATTATACATTGTGGCGTTTGGGAAATGAATTGGATTTTCTTTTTTAGTTTCAATTTATATAGTAAAGTTGCATGTATATGTTTCGTGACTTCCTCTCTTTGCAAAGTTATGGTATTTTCTTTCTTGCAGTTGTCAGAGCTTGTGAATGTAGAAGGCTATAGTGATTGGATACGTCTGGTAGCAGAGTTCACGTTGAAGTCTTTGCAATCTTGGCAGGTTAACTTTCTTCAAAGATTTCATGTATGAGTAGAATCATGGACCTGTGGCTGGGTTACATTACCCAGGGGGATAGTTCACCCCCTAACCAAACTTCTCCCACCACTGATGTTCAATCCTAGGTCCTTCGTGCCCATATGCTGATCTAGTTCATGATTACTTGCAGTGGGCAAGCAGCAGTGTATACTACCTTTTAGGGCTGTGGTCCAGGCTGGTAACATCTGTACCATACTTGAAGGGTGATGCCCCAAGCTTGCTCGATGAATTTGTGCCGAAGATCACTGAAGGTTTTATCACATCAAGGTTTGATTCAGTGCAGGTATAGTTAAGCACATGCTTTTTTTTTGAGCTCTCATATTATGGAGACACCCCGAAATTGAAATTTTCATCTTCTTGTGCCTAGGCTGGATTCCCGGATGACCTTTCTGAGAATCCACTCGACAATGTTGAGCTTCTTCAGGATCATCTCGATTGTTTTCCATATCTTTGCAGATTTCAGGTATAACCTGCATATATGACATGTACTTCGTTAGTTTACCAGCCTTAGAATCTGTCATCCCAAAACCTTATCTCATGTATCTTAAAAGAAATGTGTTATTTTTTCTTCTTGTTTTTTTTTTTTTTTGTTTTGCAAAATGGTGTTGGTTTGTGACTTAAATTCCTTCTCCGGAGTTTCAGTATGAAAGCAGTAGCATGTTTATTATAAACATTATGGAGCCTATTCTACAAATATACACGGTATGTTTTATTTGTATGGTGCATTGAGATTATACATGGTTGAGTTCATCATGAATTTTTATATGTATTTATTTATTGGTTGTTTGCTTTAATAGGAAAGAGCACAGGTCAAGACAGGTGATAATAATGTTGAACTATCTGTGATTGAAGCCAAGCTTGCTTGGGTCGTGCATATAATTGCTGCTATCCTGAAAATAAAACAGAGTACTGGTTGCAGGTAAACAAACCTATTCACTAGATGAAATACATTTTTCTCCCTCGCATACAATACCATACTTAGTCTGGTATTATAACTATCTGTCCATGTTCTTTTGTTTCTGTCTTGCAGCTCGGATACACAAGAAGTAGTGGATGCAGAACTTTCAGCTCGGGTTTTGCGTTTAATAAATGTCACTGACAGTGGTCTTCACAGTAAGGTAGATCAGCAGCAATGGGCTTTCATTTTGTTATCTTTAAACTTTTTCGATAAGAAACATTTTATTTATTAAAAAAGAAAATTACAAAAGCCTAGACTCGCATCAAGTGTGGACAATCAGTCCAAACTAAACGAAGCTTATGGAATCAAATCAGAAAAATTACAATCTGCACAAAGCTTGCCAACTTGTTGTAATACAAAAAAGCGGAATATCTTGAAACTCCTTGGACATTGAAACCCAAAAGGAAGCTAAAAAATAGATTCTTTTCCATAGACCTTCAAAATCATCACATTTATCCCGACATTCATTTCCTTCAAAATCACCCAAACAGTAGTAAAGAAGGCACTATGCCAATTGATTTTCCATTTGCTATTCCCTCTACATCCCACATTATCCAAACAAAACATAGATGCCATAGTCCTTTGAGCAACCCACGCAATGCCCATAAAGTTAAAGAGCTTATTCCATAATGCTTGTGCCAGCGGGCAATGCAAAAATAAATGATCCACATCCTCACTCAAGATTTGGTCCCCTTTTTTGAAGAACTTCATTTGTGCTAATTCTCCTATGAGCATTTATCCTTGCACAAACTTTTATCTTTAAAGGCACTTTCTCCCTTCAAATCCTCAGTGATGGATAGAGAAAAGGAAACAAAGGATTATCAATTAAAAAATCAAAGTACGATTTACTAGAGAATATCCTCGATGAAATCCACTTCCTCTTATCCATTGAGTTTTGAACTAAAGAAACACGATGAAGAATAGATAGGAGACTCGCCAACTCCGAACATTCCCTATCATTTAGATTCCTATGAAACCCAAAATTCCAAGAAATCGGATTAGAATATATCTGAACCATACATGCAATAAAATTATCATGATAACTAGAGAGAAGATACAACTGTGGAAAGAGAAAAGAAAAAGAAGACTCCTCACCTTATTTGTCTTCCAAAAAATGCACTCGATTTTCATTTTCCACAATGAACTTGATCTTCTGAGAAAAACTGGGGTTATCTGGGGAAATAAACCTCCATGGACTCTAAAAAGAATCTTTTTCAACCCCATTAGCATTGCACACATTAACCAGTAGTTACTCCTAAGGACGACATGCTGCAATTAATCATATTCCAAAGGTAACTTCCATAGTCATTTTCAAACCAAAGCTATATTTCTTTTCACCAAATTCTCCACCGAAAGCCCTATCTTCTCTTTAGGCTTAGTCATTACTTCCCATCAAATCAAATGGTCCTTTCCAACCCTCTCCCGCCCCTTCCCATAAAAATCTCTTTATTAACCCGTCAATTTCCCTAGCCCACCCACCAGACATTTTACAAAAGGACATAAAATAAATGGGAATACTAGACAAAACTGACTAAATCAAAGTTAATCTACCCCTCCCCTCGGAAATGAAAGATTTCTTTAGACCATCTAACCTCCTTCTAACTTTATCAATAACATGATCCCAAAAAGTCTCTTGACATCGGATTACCACCCAATGAAAGTCCTAAATATCTCAAAGGCTACTCACCCACTGAACATCATTCACTTTCTTCTCACTAGAATTAATTCCCACTGTAATATTTTTTTCCATATAAACCTTAAGTCTTGAAACAACACCAAACACATCAACAATCAATTTTAAATTTTTTAGTTTCTTCTCATCCCTCGAAGAAAAGAAAATAGTATCATCTGCTAATTGCAATGAGATACTATAATCCTTTCCCTCCCTATTACAAAACTTCAACCAAATTACTTCCCTCTACCTTTTCCATTAATCTCCTCAAAACATTGACCACTAAAATGAACAAAAATGGAGATATGATTATAAAGCCTTCAACCAAATTACTTCGCTCTACCTTGTCTGAGCCCCCAATAAGCTTGAAATCTTCCCCTTTGTCTCCCATTCATAATTACTAAAAAATTCATTGATTCCAAACATTCCCTAATCCACATCCTCCGTCTCCCTCCAATTTTTTTTTCTTCCATAATAAAATCAAGAAAACTCCAATCCACATGATCATAGGTTTTTTCAAAATAAATTTTAAACATAAACCCTTCCTTCCTTTTGCCCCTATACTCATCAACAACCTCATTAGCTACAAGTGCTACATGCATAATATGTCCTTCCCTCACAAAAGCCCCCTAACTTCCGGAGATTGTTTCATTCAAGCATAACCTTAGCCTAATAGCAAGAATTTTAGCAATGATCTTGTACAAACTTGTAACCAAGCTAATGGGCCTAAAATTCTTCAACTTCAGAGACTCTGATTTCTTTGGAATTAGACATATATATGTATGTTATGAAACATTGACATGTGATGGATGACCCACTGTCATTACTACTACTATTACTTCTACTATCCCTAACACCAACTGCCCTCCGGTTGGGTGTATTCTCTGCCTATAAAAGGCCGACTTCAGATATGAGAAACACACTGAAAATAACAAATGAAATAAGAAAGAAAAAGAAAAGTGTACTCCAGAAGATCAACACATTGATATATTGAGTTCCTAAAGAACTTATTTTAAATATATTTTGTGCATTACTCTTTATATATTGTTAGTATTCTGTCGATTTTACAACACGTTATTGACACGAGTCTCTAATCAGTCAAGGAAAGACTCCATTTTTTGAAAGAATTTTGAAGTATTGACAATTTGATTCATTCGTGGTTTAGCTGTTACTAATGACTGCGAATCCTGAAGATGCATGTTTGGTAGATAGAAATACAACGCATAAAATCTTTCGAGACAAAAGATTTTTCTCAAAGTTGACGTTAGCTGAAGTTAATGAATACAATACCAGGTTTTGCAAATTTGATTGAAGGCTTCAGAAAGTAGTAATTATGTTACGAAAATGGAACAATACTAAAAATCAATGACACTATATTCAATCAGATCCAGAAGAAAGTTGTTGAGTTTTAAAGATATATGTTGTAATGGATTTCATATTGAAACTGTGAATGACGGTAATACACAATATCTTTGTATTACTAGTATTAATGCCAACCAAAAGCTAATATTAGAGAAATTTTTCGCTTTTTCTTTTGGGTTGTACCGTACAACCATAATAACGATTGAATCAAATAATGTAATGAGCCCGAAGATAATTGATTCCAAAAACTTTTATAATGTGGCATGATTGACTAGGTCACCTAGGGTCAATAATGATGCGTCGGATTATTGATAGCTCACATAGGTGTCCATTAAAGAACTAGAAGATTCTTGTGTCTAAATTATTTGTGTACTGCATGCTCACAAGGTAAATTAATTATTAGACCATCTCTTGTAAAGGTTAATGTTGAATCTCTAACTATTTTTCAATGAATTCAAGGGGATATATTGTGACTTATTTATCCATCATGTGGACCATTTCGTTATTTTATGGTCTTGATAGATGTATCAATAAGATGCTCACGTGTCTATGTTATTTACTTATAACGTTATTTTTGCTCGTTTCTTTGCACAAATAATTTGGTTGTGGACACAATATTCAGATTTTGCCATCAGAGCAATTCGTGTTGATAATGCTGGTGAATTTATATCCAAAACATTTGACGACTATTCTATGTTTGCCGGGATTGATGTTGATCTTCTAGTTGTTCACACTCATATCCAAAGTGGTTTAGCTGGGTCTTTTATCAAAATATTTCAAATGATTGCTCGACCTTTACTTATGAGGATAAAGGTACCCATTTTTGTTTCGGGACATGCCATTCTACATGCAACTGCCTTAGTTCGTATCCGACTAAGTGCCTATCATCAATATTCACCTTCACAACTTGTATCAAACTTTTGGTTGTGTTGTACATGTTCCAATTGCACCCACTCAATATACTAAAATGGGTCGTCAACGTCGATTGAGACTATACATTGGGTATGATTCACCTTCAATCATAAGGTATCTTGAGCATTTGGTAGGTGATGTTTTTACCGCAAGATTTGCGGATTGTCATTTTAATGAAACAGACTTCTCGTAATTAGAGGGAGGAAATTCGTCGCGTAGAAAGTACAATCTATATCCCATTTTGATCCATGTACTTCTCAATGTGAAACTGAAGTACAAAGAATCATACATCTACAAAAAATTTTTAATCAGTTGTCTGATGCATTTCCTGAATCAACAAAAGTAAAGATTGATATTCTAATTGAAAAACCTATGGCAGCAAATGAATCTTCAGTTGCACACCTTATGCATGGACGACTCAATAGGTTCGAAAGATTTAGCTCTACGGAAGAGGAAAACAAAAGGCAAATTACATACGACTCCTGAAAAAGTTGCCGAAAACCAAGATGCACCCACATTATCTCAAATAATACTTTCTGAAGAGGAAAAAGTGAACTGAAGAAACACATACTCCTGAAAAGATACAAGTATCTCACAATAAATAAAATTCTATTAATTATGCATGCTTAAGAGAAATGTGGGATCGCACAGAAATGATTATATATGATATATTTTTTTTTAGTGGCGACTGAAATTTTAAATGATGATGATCTCAATTCACGCTCTATTGGTGAATGTCAATTTAAACATAATTGGAAAGAACAATCCAAACAGAATTAGATTCTCTAAAAAAACGTGAAATGTTTGGACCTGTAGTCCTAACACTTGATGGCAAAGTTGTTAGTATCGTACGATACGCGATACGTATCGTACGATACGTTACGATACAGCCCTAAAACGATACGGATCGTAGTTATGTATCGTTTTTGCGTTGTATCGTCCGATACACGATACGTGCAATTTTTTTTTTTTTTTTTTTTTTAAAACGACGTCGTTTTGTGCTCTGATTTTTTTAAAAAAAAAACGACAAGTGAAGACTTGTTGGCATCCGATCACAATGATGATGATGATGATGCATTTTCAATTGAAATTGAAGATTGAGTTCAAAATGGATGTTAGAAATTTGGATTAGAAGTCTCTTTGGTGTTTAAAGTTTGAATTAGTGAACTATGGTTGTGAACTTTGCATTATAATAGTAGTGGATTATGTTGATA